AGAGGGTTATAGGATTGCTTGGCAGTGGTGTAGAACCTAATAAGGGCCCAGAGTAATAACCCCCTGGATTAACAAAATTGCTGCTTGTAGAAGTATGATTCAGGCTTTTACGAAGATTTCCGGAGAATGAATAAAAATGACTGAATGACATTTCTTAATGTATAACTGGTAATCGCTCCCCTTTCTTTAAAGGAAAAAAATGTATACTTCAAACTGGACCATTAATAACGTCCAGGGACAACACGACTTTTTCCTTTGCAAAATGTTTCTTCCCCCATCAGGTAATGGGTTTTCTCCTCCCCGCCCCTTGGCCAGGCTGCCACTGTCACTTAAACATACTGTTACTCTGGGGAACTCTGTGATCCAAAATACCATTTTTGACCCTATTTAAGACCCCCTTCATCCAGATGCGCTCACTTCTATGTATACACATACACACATGCTCACGTGCACATTTTTCCTCTACAAGCAAGTTGGGTTAGGCCGTGTATAATTTTCTTCCCTCTAACACCAGCCCCTTGTTTTCCGTTCTAGTAAGATCTCCACTCAGAAAGATAGTATCAAGAGAACTACAGGTGCTTTGGCTGCTGCTATTGGAGATAGAGTAATAATAAATGTTTGCCCCAATTGGGGGAAGGGGAATAATAACAAAGAATGAGAAAACTGATCAGGGCCAATACCAGAGACTTTAGCTTAAGGAGTCCCCAGTGGTCCCAAAGTTTCCCTTAGCACTCACTCCCCTCCCACCACCAATTCTGCCACTTGCTGCCTTCTGCACCACACACCCCAGAAGTCCACCCTAACCACTGCCCACAGTCCAGGCCAGGGGTAGTTGGTGACAGAGGAACATTCCTGATAATGTTGCCCCAACTTCCCCTGTCTTGTCTGTAGGGACTGCCTGCATGCAGATCAGCTAACCTGTCTGAAAATGTATCAAATTAACTTATCCCTTTCCCTCAGCCATAATGGCTCCCCATCATCCCTCACCCCAAGATGCATGGGGGGTGGCCCTGGGAAAGCAGGTGTTGGGCCATTCTGCCCTGGGTGTGATAGGAGACAGCCATGCCCTGAACCGGGCTCTCCCCAACTCCCCGGGGCTCTGCCTGTCCTCCATGGTAGAAGAGGTTTGTTTTAGGTTGGGGGGGGTCAGCCGCTCCCAGCATTGTGACTGCGTTCCCAGATATTGGGGCCAAATTGGGTTGCCATTCATTAATAATGCTCACAATAAGATTAAATCATTCTGGAAAATCTCATAAAATCCCCCTAAGTACGCTCCAGTGGCTCTTTCCAATCCCCATCATTCAGCACTTGGGGAGGTTTGGAAGGAGAAGAAAATTGGTTTCTTTGCTTTTAATGCTGCTTTGAAAAGATACTCAGAGTTTGTCATGCGTGACATGTCACATGTTTAATGTGGACTTGCTGGAAGTCAGGGGGTCTTTAGCGTGTGATATTTATGGGGAATATTAAGTGCAGAATGAGGTCCCTCCAGCTGGGGAAAGTTGAAAGAATAGGAGGCCCAGGACCAGGCTTGTTTGCGGCATCAGAATGACATAGGATTAAGAGTTTGTAAAACAAGGCGAGGGGTTCTCATTGGCCAGTAATAAATGTAATCCTTGGAGGTAATTTCACGCAATTTGCTTCTGCTCCATGGAAGGGTCAAATGAGAAAAAATGACTTAAAAAAGAGTTCATTAACAGGAAGAATGGTACTGTTTCTCGTATACCATCCAACTGGCAGGCTGAAGGGGGGAAAAGAAGCCCTACCAAACAAAAAGCCAAAATCGACGGAAAATTGATATTGACCACAAAAAAAAAAAAA